CCCCGCCACGGTGAAATCTCAAAAACACACTTGAGCTTCACCCTCACCACACACATTCACTGTCTTTTTCAATCCTTTAACGATTCTTCATTACAGCCGCCAAAATGGTCGAGATGATTGAGACTGGCGTCACCTACGAGGAGCTCGCTGACATCGAGCGCGAGTTCGAGCAGGTCGAGACTGAGATGCGTAAGTTCTTGCTCCCTCCCTCACACACTCTCGTCGCCTCCTTTCCTTTCGAGCCCTCAGAAAAATCTGTAATCTCACACGCCCTCCCCGCCTTCTAGTCCGCCGCCAGTACGAGCTCTCTCGCCCTCTGTACGAGAAGCGCGCCGCCATCGTCGCCAAGATCCCCAACTTCTGGGCCCTCGTCTTCGAGCAGTCTCCCCCGGAGATTGACGAGTACATCCAGCCCCAGGACGCCGCCCTTCTCCTGGCCTCCCTCAAGAACATCTCCGTCTCTCGCTTCGAGCTCGAGAACGGCCAGAACGGCGACCCCCGCTCCATCGCCATCCGCTTCGAGTTCGGCGACAACGAGCACTTTGAGGACAAGGTCCTTGAGAAGAAGTTCTGGTGGCGCACCTCCGAGAACTACACCGGCCTCGTCTCCGAGCCCGTCAACATCAACTGGAAGGCCGGCAAGGACCTGACCGACGGCCTCCTGACCGCCGTCCAGAAGGTCTGGGCCCAGGGCGGCCCCGTCCTCTCCGGCAAGGGCAAGCCCGCCCCCACCCCCGAGGCCCAGGCCCTCAAGGCCAAGATCGAGGAGACCGGCATGGGCGGCGTTTCCTTCTTCTGCTGGTTCGGCTACGTCGGCAAGCGCATCTCCGCCGAGGAGAGCGCCGCCTTCGCCGCCAAGGAGGCCGACGAGTTCAACCGCCGCAAGGCCGGCGAGAAGGTCGAGGAGAAGGCCGACGAGGACGACGACGACGAGGAGGACGAGTTCGAGTACGAGATCTTCCCCGACGGCGACGACATCGCCACCGCCATCGCCCAGGACCTCTGGCCCGACGCGCTCACCTACTTCAGTAAGTTCATCCGCTCGCAGGGCGCCGCCGCCGCCCATGGTGATGGTGACAGAGACTTACTGTCCATGATAGCGCAAGCGCAGGAGGCCGGCGACCTCAGCGACGCCGAGTTCGAGACTGACGAGGACGACGACGATGAGGAGATGGGTGACGCGTAAATGTGCTTGGAAGGCAAGGAGAGAGAGGCGCGCGCGGTTGCAGCAATGATGTGATGACGTTTGGAACATTAGATGGTGATACCACATAATCAGTCAGCCCTTGGATGGGGACCAAAATCAAAAGCTTTTTCGTTTGTTATAACTACTACGTTCCACTATAAGTGACCTTGATATCCTTCATTTACAGACTGATTCTTATGCCGCCATCTCGTGCCTGGACAGTGGCCCATGTGAGCCAGCAGGCACGCCATAGTTCGCTGGCAGCTCGAGGAGATTATTAGAGTCCGCTTCGTGGGTCTCAGTAAAGGTCGGCACCCCATGGTTCCCTGGCAACTCGCTGAGATTGTTAGAGCCCGCTTCGTCAATTTCAGTCAAGGTCGGCGCCGTATACGCGGTGCCGACTGAGCCAAACTTCGACGACGGAGAAGAATCCTGTGGTGCTGCCGCTACCTGCCGCTTCCTCCGTCTCCTGAAGAACAACACCAGACCAGCAACGAGAACAGGTGCTGCGACTCCTCCAACGGCACCACCCACAATAGCACCGATATTAGGGCCTGATGGCTGAGGTTCCGTATCACCAGGCAATCCTACTTCGCTTGCTGTAGCGTTCGGAGACCCTTTATCGTTGATGAGCCACCAGTCGCCAACAGAAAGGGTGTTCAGGTCTCACTTACACTGGGAAAAGAGCGCCTTGAGTTCCGGAGATACCCAGTTAGCAACGTTACCCTGGCTGTACCAGTCTTTAACCACCTTGGGAGAGTCATAACCTCCCGCATTCGGATCGTAACGGTTTGTCCAGCGCAGTTCCGTCATGTCAAAGATGCCGAGACCCAAGGGCCATGGATCCGGTGTTGAGAATCTCTTGCCGATAAATGTTTCAGGAAGTAAACCGCCAACAGAAAGCATTTGTCGTCCGCCGATTACCGTACATGCGTGGTCTGCGCGTTGTGTCGAAAGGCTCTTGTTATCTGCCTTGAAGAAATTGAACCCAGGAAGGCTAAGGATGTGGACCTCGTTCGAGGTAGCAAAGGTGTTTGTCTCCCGACCACCGTATATGAAGCTGTTCAACGGAGATTTGTCAACCTATTATCCCTTGAGTCGAGATACTGCACTAACATTTCGTAGGTGTTGTTGGGGCCAGGAGCGCCCGTAGTGCAAAACTTCTCTTTGCGAAACGGGACATCACCCGTGGTTTGCTGGTGATACCACTCGTCGCCTTCGAAATGGTGATGTCAGCTCGGGATCATGCTTACAAGTTGGAGATACGAACCATATGGATCATAGACTGAGATTTTATCGAATGCCATCGCGTCCCATATTGAGAAACGAGTTGCTGACACAGGTGCCTCCCACCCGCCGAGGACGACGAGTAAGCCCTCGGGGCCGAACGGCACAAATTGCAGGGAGCCGCCCTTGAATGTTCCGTACTTACCAAACCTGCTGGATGAAATATTTCGCATCTCGCCGGATCGCATGTCAAAAGACACGAGCGCGGCCCTCGACACTTATGTTTCCCAGTGTTGAGTTTGATGGTTGACTTCCATTGTCGAAGTCGGCGTCCGTTCCCTGGCTAGTGTAGCCGCCAAAGTAGTAACCGACATTCTTGCTCTGGGAAAACGCTCCCTCTCTCGTCCGAGCGATAGCTAGGAGATTGGGAGGAGTTATGTCTTGCCAATGGCCTTCCCCCGTGTCGTCAGCTGTGAATCGCAATATCTTCTTATCCCAAGGCGTCGAGGTTCCCTTCCAGCCGCCCCAGGTGAAGAAGGCGTTCGAGGTAGGATCTTTCCAGATGGCTTGCCCGTTTAACATATATGGCCTGATTTTCGGGGTTGTTTTCATCGTGACGCTTGCGGGGTCCCACGGCTCAGTAAGGCCAATGGAGATGGTCGAGTTGACTACCACGCAAACCAGCGTCAGTTCCATCAAAGTTTTGAGAACAGAATTCTGCGTACCTGGCCATGATGGGTAACTGTAAGTTTCGTTGTACTCACCTTCGTATTGCGAAACTTCACCTCCGTCTATGTAGACGTACTTTCCGATGGCAATGGCTTCGGGAAGTCAGCGGGTCCGTTCTTGGGTAAGAATGCCGCGATGCAACTTGCCTGAACAGTATGCTCTTCGCAGGAAGCTGGATGCAGGTGGGGCATCAACCAACCCTCGAGGGTTAATGGCGGAATCCCAAGAAGGATCCATCCGAAGGGACGAAGCTGCTTGCCAAAGCAAAGGAGCCAGGGTTTGGTAACGCATTGATCACGATGTTCATGACAGCCTTTCAGGAGGACGTGGGTAGTAGCTCTCGCTGCCGCATGGGAGAAAGAGGCCTGTCCGCTGACAATGTTGGGAGACAGATGTCAAGGGACAAGAGGCTGAGGTTGCTGAGGCAGCTGAGACATGCTAATACGTTTCCGCTTTCCGGACTTGATGTTATGCGGCCTTAATCTCGTTATGCGACATCTAATATTGCAGGTAGTTGTACTGCCGACTTCCTCTTTGGGTACCGAGCCATGATCATGCTCACAAGCGGGCTTTCTGATGGATCCAGCCGACGGTAGCTTGCCGTAAGTGGGTTATAAGTGGTGTCAAGACTCAACGTTGTACTGTTGATTAGAAGAAAAGACTTCTGGCCAGCTGAGCTTGCTTCCAGTCTCATGAGCAACATAGGATAGGAGAAAGTTACGGTAGTCGCAGGCAGCGCTTGGCAGGTTACTTTCTTCTTGGAGGATTGGCATTACTGTGAGAGTCAAGACTCGGACCGGCTTGATACTTGGACTGCGTCCAGCTTTGACAAAGTTTTGAAGCTCCCGTTCCGAGATACAACATTTTCCCCGTGTCCATTTTTCGTGCGCTGTATCTGTGCTGATATTACTTTCCTTTGGCTATCTAAAGTCTTGCCTACGACTCTTTGCCTCATGTGGCTCACTCTCCGCTGACAACTCGACTGGTATTGAGTGACCATGAACCTCAACCCAACCAGATGAGGTATCCATCTCCAAAGGACTGGACTCTCCATGAAGCTGGTGGTGCCCAAGCATATTGTGCTCTCCATAGGCTGTGGACTGTGAGCCATATTTTTGATACATCGAATCGGTAGCTCGGGGATCGTGCGGCGGGTGCCGGGGCGCCGCTGCGTATGACTTCTTGTGTTTGATGAAGACGATGGCAAGCCCAATGAGAAGTGCCACCCCGAAAAACCCACCAGCCACGGCGCCGGCGATGGTTCCGGCGGGTGGTGAAGATGAGCGGCTCTCATCGCCGTCATTAGACGTGCCGTTTCTATCAGGTGTCGCAGATGGGCCAGGAGATGGTAATTCATCCTGGGATGCTATTGCTTGGTAAGTTAGGTTTCCGTTCTGGGGTCAGACTCACTTACGCTTTAAGAAAAGAAGCTTCACGTCTTCATTTGCCCAGGAGACATTGTTCTGCCCCCCTCCCTCATACCATTGCTTTACTATCTCCGGGGATTCGTACGCCGCCTCATCAGCGCTGTACCCATCCTTCCAACGCATCTCTGTCAAGTCGAAGACGCCCAGACCATAAGGCCATGGGTCCGGTTGAGTCCATCGTTGAATGTAATCGAGAGTACTAAGACCGCCAATAGAGAGCATCTGCCTACGTCCCACCACAACACAGGCTTGATCATACCGTGGGGTCGAACTATCACCGGCTTTAAAGAATCTGAAGCCAGGAACGCTGAGCACGTAAACGTCGCTGAAAACATCCTGGTTACTACTCCAACCTCCGTAAATGAAACTTGCCTGGAGAGTCATCGTTGAGCTGGTCACTGGAGACGTTCTCAATTGGAACAACAGTCTACTCACATCTCGAATGTGTTGTTTGGTCCCAAGACGCCTGTTGTACAGAAGCGCCTCCTCCTTGCCGGTTTAGATCCAGTGGTGCTTTGGGTATACCATTTTTGGCCTGGGGTAGTGTCAGTCGAGACGCTCATGCTGAGAGATCATTTACTCACCTTTGATGTCGAACAAAGTGACCTGGCTGAAATCAATCTCCTCCCAACCGCCCTCTCTAGACGTTATAGGCGCCTCCTGACCGCCGAGAAAGAGAAGAACACCAGCGTCCCCGAAGGGCAGAAACTGCGAAGACCCTTCCTTGAAAGTCCCATATTGGCCAAATTTACTCGTCGTGTTCTTGATCTCTCCGGATGTCATGTTGTACGACACGAGTCCTGGGGTGGGAATGGACACATTCCAATCTGAGATGTAGGAGTCGCTCCGCCTCCTGACGATTCCCCCAAAATAGTATCCGGTATCTTTGCTCTGTGTGAAGGTTCCATCTGTTGGCCTTAACAGGTCTTCAAACGTGTTGAGGTTGGAAGGCGGCGACTTTGCCCACCTGCCGCCACCGCTACCGTCGGCCGTGAAACGCAAAATCTCCTTATCCGGGAGTGTTCTGTTATAAAACTTCTCACCTGCCCAAGTGTAGAATTCATTTCCGGATGGTCCAAGCCATATGGACTGGCCATCCAGCTTTTGGGAATCTTTGGGTATCGAGTTCATGACAACAGATGAGGTAATCCAGGATGTTTTCAGACTTATAGAGATGGTCGAGTTTACTGGAGCGCGGTTCCCTTTGTGTCAGCGTTCTTTTCGTCTATTCAGCTATGGTTTGATCTGGGGGTTACCTTCACGAAATAGCCCGGTCAAGTCGGTGCGACTGACGTTGTTCAGAGGCGTCTGCGAGATCTCGCCGCCGTCTATATACACATAGTCGCCCACGACAGCAGCTTAACCAGGTCAGTGGTTTCATAGTTACATGCTGAGAAGTAAAGAGGTCTTACCTGAGCACAAAGATCTTCGCACGAAACTAGACTTCGAGGGTAAATCTTGACGCTCCACGAGCCCTGATAGACTGAACAGGCTTAGACAATGCGCCCCAACTGCCATCCATGACATGAGGCAAATGGAGATTCGCATCGTGTAAAAGCTTTCTGCACGACACATGATCTTCGAGAGTTTCCGAGGTGTTCAGGGGCAGGTTTTAAGGAAGGGCGCCCAGAGAACAACCAAGTCAGCCTGAGACTTGCTCACTGGCAAGGCTGGGCATTCAAATGAAAGCTGTTTCAGGCAACCAAGACACAATGACATTGGAGGATTGAGCTATGATACAAGCATTCAAAAACAGTGGCGAGCTTACTTTAAGTACTGTTAGAAGCCACCAAGGCTGCCCAAGCCTGCTCGGCTGATTCTGATGTCTATGTTTCCTACATTACTCAACAATAGCAAGGTTACTGCCATGCAAAAAGTCTCATTGTTTGTAGTGAGTGCGCTGTTTAGAGGCATACAAGGATTAAAATTGTCATATCACTGCGAGTATGTAGCTTTGAAGTATAAGCGAATGTGTGGCTTTAAGCCGGCATGCCTCTGCCTGTTTGGTTCATGCTTCTTGCCGGAAGGGGAAAATGAAGGTGTATACGGAAATTTTAACGCCTAATCTCGGATGCCAACCGAAGCCTTTCCAGTACCGAAAGCATCATATTGCTACTTGAAGAAACCGGGACACGCTTCGTTTTTTCCAGTTCTTGAAAGCAGGGGGACGACGTTGTCAGTGGCAGTAAGACTGGATACCTAGTTTTCCCCCCCAAGCAGTTCAGAGTCCTACCAAAACGGTCCTTGGCTGTAACTTATCTCAACCCAAATACCCATCTATTAGTTTCTACTGAGTGCTATTTTGTCTCTGGAAGCTTTTGTAATGCCCCGAGTTTCGAAGGGATAACCACCCGCGCAACCCACCTTGTCACCTAATCAGCCTCGATGCTTGTGAGACAAGGGCTGGATGGCGATTTTCATTGAGGAATAGACGCCAAGAAGAAGGACATCGTGTGGTATGGACTGATCGACAAGGCGAGACTCTTCGTAGCCAGCAATGATCGCTGTCAGCCTTGTGTCGATTGGGTGACTCAGGGGTAGTAGGATAGCTAGTCTAATTTTCGGACCCAGGCCGAACACGCCTTTTGAGGAGTCTTCATCGCATTTCCTTCCTATTGCTCTTGCCCAAGTCAAAACTCAAAGTATGTCATTATATCTTTCGCTACAAATGCTGCTCTCTTCACACTAGTGAAGATGTATATACCTCATGCCAAAATATATCTCCTCATCTGGAATCCTCTCTAGGACAAGTGCCTCGAGTGCTCTCGTCTATCAAAACCGCCCGCAGCGGTGCCATCCAACTCTATTACAACATCCGATCCTCTCTCAGTCAGTGACGCTTCTTGCCACTCTCTTCTCATCCTCTCCTTCTCATGCCCTCAGACCCAGCACTCCCCGCCCTACCCAACTCAGCCTCATCCTCAGGCCCCCTCCCCGGAGCCAACACCCCCTCACTCCCACTCCCCCGCCTCCTCGGCTCCTCGAACCTCGTCTCGTCCGAGTCGTCCGCATCTACCCCATGAATACCGCCACAGCTCTCCATCGTAAACGGGCTCGCCGTCGGCCCGTCCAGAACCCCTAACTCCTGTCCCGAAAACCGCCGCGGCAGAAGCCACGCGCGGATCGGGATCAGCAGCATGATGAACACAGGGAATCCCACCGCGGCCACGGTCTGCGTGATGGCAAACGTCGCCCCGAAGCCCACCAGCTCGATCGCGACAAACTCCCACACGGCCCGCCGCCGGATCTGGTTCAGCGGGTGGTTCGGCGGCGTCAGATTCTTGTCCTTGAGCAAGAACAGGATCTTGAGCGTGATGCCGTTGCCCTCGAGCGCCTGCACGCCCATCACGAAGAACAGCCCCGCCAGCACGCCGTGCGGGATGAGGTGCAGCACGACCAGCAGCGGGCCCGTCATCGTGCCGAGCGTCAACAGGCCCTGCGCCAGGTTCGACACGCGCTGCTCCACCACGTGAGAGGCCTTTGTGACATGTTTCCCGGTAAGCTCGCCCTTCTCGTCGACTTCCGCCTCGGACTTGCGCACGGTGAGTGACTCGGTGTGGAAGGGCGCCTGCGGGATGAGGCCGTTGGGGAAGGGCAGGCCCAAGATGCCCGCGACGCCGGTCGTCAGGCCGAGGAGGAAGAGGTCCCAGTGGAAGCCTGCTGGCTTCCGGAGGGGAAATTCGGTGCCTTGAGCGATGAGTGAAGAGACTTTTCGGTCAGGTTAGTTGGGACCTTCTTTGATTCGGGGGGTGGGGAGGGGTTACCGTTGTGGTCAAACCAGAACAAGATGGTGAGCAATACCGCAAACGGAAGCGCGAGGAATACATCGCCGACGGGGATATCCCAAAAGTGTACGAGCCAGCCCCGGTCCGCGGTCGGCATGAAGGCGATGCCCGTCGGGAGGACCTCCAAGTCGATCGGTTTCATCCGGCCAATGTGCACGAACCCGGTGAAGAAGATGAGGGTGAGTGGAGTGCCGTAGTCCTTGAGGAAGATGCGCACATGGTGATGGAACAGGCTGCTGCCACCAAGGCCGGCGCAGACGTACGCAACCATGAAGACGAGCAGCGAGGCGACGATCGACAGGTAGAACGGCTCGGCATCACCCAGGCGCTCGAGGACCTGGATGCCTTTTTGGAGGTAGATGAAGGCGACGTAGAAGCCGAAGATGTCGCAGGGGAAGCGGGTCACGTAGCGCAGCCAGTTGCAGGAGTTTGTTATCGCGAGGATCCAGTGGAGGATGAGGGACCATCTGTTGTTGGGTGTCAGTTCGCATTACGGCGAAGGGTTGCACTTGGATTACGTACATTCCAATCCAGCACATGAAGGCCAGGTAGTTCACTCCCGTGGGCTTCATGATGTCGTACACGGTATAGTTGAAAACGGTAATCGGGCCCGTGACGCCGACGATGACCAGAGGTTGGCATGCAAACACGGCAAAGACAACGGATCCGAGCACCGAAGCCAGTAAGACCTCATTGACGCCGTATGTTGAGCCGGTGCTGGTGAACATGTCGAGGGAGAAGGCCAGGGCTGGGAGGATACTGGGCTCATGTTAGTCTCCATCGCCCTTGAACCCATCTACAACCACAACGGCTATATCTTGACTGTTGTTGTGACAAGTAAAAGGCAATCGCTATGAAACTCATGGGGTTCGCGGCAGACAAACCACGAAACGACTTGGAATACGTACTTTGCAAAATACATGTACACGGTCGCCGGTACGACACGATAATCCCACGCATCGAGCCAATCGCTGACGTAAAAGGGCGCCCGGCGCCGCAGGTCGTTCACCATACCGCGGAAGAGCTGGACCTTCCACCATCCAGAGGAACGCCCGCGGCGGCTACTGCTGCCCTGCTGGCTTGTGGTTGTCGTCGGCCCGGGAAGTGGCTCGACTGTCTTTTCGTCCGTGTTGGGCGCCATTGTAGACTGCCCCAGGCGAGCTTCGCCTTTCCTTCACCGTCTATGGGTGTGTGTAAATGCGCAAACACCAAATGGAAATATAAAGAGCAAAAAGTATCAATAACGATTAACGATGCGCAAGTCGTACCCAACGGGTAATCATGTCGAAGAAGGCACAAATCCCTCCAAAGTAGAAAAGTAGATGACGACGTTCGAGGTGTAGAACTGGACCTGGGCTTGGCTAAGGCCGGCCAGGTGTGGGTGGGTGGTTGTTGTATTTAAGAATTGGTATGGACTGATGGATCTGCCTAGGACAAGGTAGGCCGAGACAAGCACTTCTGAAGCGCACTTCCGTCCGGGGGAGATTTGATGAAGAGGTATCCGTATTTGATTTCAGGGTGGATGCGACTGCGACCTGCCGACATGCAAAGGACCATAAGAAGCACAACAGAAAGAGAGGGCCAAAGGGGGAAAATCCAGTTGCAAGGGCAAAATCGTTGAGAACCTCGCAGGGAAATGATGTGAGCGGGAATACAGGTTCCAGACTCGAGAGTTCAGAAGAGGCAATAAACCAGGCACCCCCAAATGGAGAAAAGAGTCGGCCCCGCCCGATTGGAACTCTGGCAAGGTATGTTTGTTTTTCTCGTCAAAATTGACTCGTCTAGACCAGCACTGCGGCGGCGGCCTCGCTGTATCTTCTCGTCAAATCAGTGTTGCGATGAGAGATTCGAAGCCAAACCACCACGGATGCTGTAGAACGAAGGTGAAGAAATGATGACGGCGTCGCAAACCCCAGCGGCCGTCGCCGTCACCGCTTCCCACCACCCCCAGAAACACCGAGTCAAGAACCGTCTTAACAAGTTCGCCACGTGCATATGCCGCTGCAGTAATCGTAGATTCCGCACCGCAACCCTCCTCGGAAATGCGACGGCCACAGGTATCCCATTGGTCAATACACAGCATCCCCCGCAGAATTCTGCTTGGGCAGAATGTATGTTGACATCCTGACCCCATTCCACCCAATCACCTCTCTTAAATGGCAATGTGGAGCTCCACTCGGGACCAAAATGTCTGAGCCGAAGAGAAAGCGAAAGAGAGACTCTTGATAATGAGAACTTGCTCATGTCGCAAAGAATCACTCGACATCTCTGTCATTGTTCGTTTGTCAAGAAGCTGGGTTTAGACTGGCGCCAGAAACAAGATTCGGTCTACGGCCGCAGCAGAATGGCGCCGGCATCCCACGCGATCGGCAAGATCTCAATCTCTGAGAGGAATTTAATAGCCGTCCTTTGCCATCTCTGAAAAACTCTGAACCGTGCCCTTCCTTAACCCCGAATGACACCACTTAACGCGACACTAATGCGGTCAGTCACACGGCCCCAGACCCTACCATTGACCATTAGATCGATGGTAGAGTTTCGAATGTCGTCTGTTGTCTATTGTCACCATATGAGTTGGTGTCTCGTGGGAGGAATTGGCTCGAGAAGACGTCATTCTCCACGCGAAGGAGTGCACTTGTGGGCATAGCATGAGGCTTTCCGACGTTAAAACTTACTTATGCTCTTTCCATCATTTAATAAACATGTCGATGAACCTGCACAGCTCATCCAGTAAGACGAGGATCAGTAGAAGATACCTGGCAAGAACACCTTGGCACCTATGATACAAGCCGCCCAAACCGTGCACTGCAATCCCATTGCCGGACGAAGCACTGTCCAAAACGCTCTGACTGCTTTGTGTGTTATGTCCGGTTCTGACTTTGGGTGAGCTATGCAACTTGCCCTCACAAGTATAAGCCCAGAGGGCTGAACAACTACCCGCGCCTGCTTCGTGTGAAGTTTTCACCCTAGGTACTGAGATGAATTTTGTGCTTGGGCTTCGAAACCACACACGATTGATGAATATCTAACAGAAGCAAAAACGTATGCGCCTTTCACTCGAGACTACCAATCGACCTTCATCATACCCCTCTGTAGGGGACTTGGTATTTTTGAGAGTCAAGCTGGATGTATCTACAATTCCTACTACAAGTACAAGTGTGAAGTGTTCCCCCGCCTCCCCAATCTACTCCAGCCCGCAATGGTTGATGCCTCTACTAGTAACACAGCCGCCGCGAAGGCAGAGTTGAGAGCCCTTTTGTTGTATTCCCTTAGACTAAAGAAATTGAAAACCACATTTCGAGTGCCATCCCCTCGCCCTCTCATCATCTCCTCGACCCGTCCTGGCTGTCCTCCAAGCTCTTGAAAGTGGGCGTGGGGCCGACGGGCGGGTTCTCGGGCGGAGAGTCCGTGTTCTCCGTCTCCTGAGGGGGCGGCGGCGGCGCGCTCTTCTGGCCCTGGCCGCCAAAGTACTTCTCAAACTCCTGGTGGTCACCAAACGGTCTCGGTCCGAGGATGCGGACGAGATCGTCACGTGTAAGCATCTCCTTCTTCAGGAGCTCCTCCGCGACGAGGCCGACCTCGTGCTTCTTCTCCGTCAGCAGGTCGCGGCACTGCTTGTACGCCTCCTCCACGATGCGGTGGACCTCGGCGTCGATGGCCTGCGCCGTCGCCTCGGCGAAGGGCTTCTGGAGTGTGTTTGGGTCGTCGTCAAAGTGCAGCGGGCCGACCTTCTCCGACATGCCCCACTGGGTGACCATCTTGCGAGCCATCTGGGTGACCTTGCGGAAGTCGTCGCTGGCACCGGTCGTGACGGTTGGGAAGTGCAGCTCCTCAGAGATGCGGCCGCCCAGGGTCATGGCCATGCGGTCCATCAGCTGTTGCACTGTCATCAGGTAGGCATCGCCTGAGGGCAGGTACTGGGCGTAACCCAGAGCGCCCTGTCCACGAGGGATGATGGAGACCTTGAGGAGGGGATCGGCGAACTCAAAGTACCAGCCGCAGATGGCGTGACCGGCCTCGTGGTAAGCGACCGTCCTCTTCTCCTTGGGGTTGAGGACAAGGGACTTGCGCTCGAGACCTCCAATGACACGCTCAATGGCCTGCTCGAAGTGGACCATCTCGACGGACTCGGCGTTGGCACGGGCAGCTATGGCATGTCAGTGAACTGTGGATATTAAGACGGGACTGAGAAAGACATACCGACAAGAGCGGCTTCGTTGACGGCGTTGGCAATGTCAGCGCCAGAGAAGCCGGGGGTGAGAGTCGCCAGACGACCAGTCAAGTGCTCCATCTCCTCCTTGGTAACGATCTTTGCAAGATGCACCTTGAAGATTTCTTGGCGGCCCTTCATTGTCGGGCGGTCAATATAGATGTGTCTGTCGAAACGGCCAGGACGCATCAGAGCCTTGTCAAGGATATCGGCTCTGTTGGTACCGGCGAGAACGACAACCTGCTCCTGAGTGTTGAAACCGTCCATCTCGGTGAGGATCTGGTTGAGGGTAGCCTCGCGCTCGTCGTTGCTACCGCCCGGGCGGTTGCCGTCCTGTCTCGCGCGACCAATGGCATCGATTTCGTCAATGAAGATGATGCAGGGCGCGTTCTTACGAGCCGTGGCGAAGAGGTCGCGCACTCTGGAAGGACCGACACCGACGAACATCTCGACAAACTCAGAGCCGGAGACGCTGAAGAAGGGAACGCCAGACTCGCCTGCCGTGGCCTTGGCCAGAAGCGTCTTACCAGTTCCAGGGGGTCCAGAGAGAATGGCACCACGCGGAATCTTGGCACCTAACCTCTCGAAGCGCTCTGGGGTCTTCAAGAAGCTGACAAACTCCATAATCTCCGTCTTGGCCTCGTCCATGCCGGCCACATCGTTGAACTTGACCTTGATTGCTGTCTCGTGGTTGAAACGCTTAGCCTTGCTCTTACCGAACCCAAACATCTGGTTGCCTCCACGTCCACCCATTTGCTTCGTGGTGTAGTACAGGAGACCAACCAAGAGGAGGGTCGGACCAAAAGCGTAGACCAAGGGCATAATGCCACCCTCGGTGGCATAGCTCACCGGGATGCGCTCTGCAGGTGGGATACCCAGCTCCCGCTGGGCGTCCTCCAGCTGCTTCTCAAACATTTCGACGGAGCCGATGGAGAAGTAGTACTGCATGTTGGGGTTGACGCCCTCGTTGCCGCCGTACACAGACTGGACACCCTCGCGATTCAGCTCGACACGAACACGGCCAGACGTCTTGATGACCACGAGCTTGTTGACAAGTCCCTTGTCCAGGAAGTTCCTGCGCAACTCCTGCCAAGTGATCTCCTTCTCGGAACCCCACAGCAGAGACTCGAAGAACGGCAGAATCACCGCCCAGACGATGGCAGCGACAACGAGATCGCCAGTGCTGAACATGCCGAAAAGCCACTTGTTTTTGCCCGATCCTTCGTTACCGCCCTCGCCCGACTCAGACTTTCGGCCCCGCTGCTCCTCCTTCTGCTTCTTGCTTTCCCAGTGATCCTTCTTCGCCTGATCTATCTCCTTCATTGCTGCCTTCTCCTCCTCACTCATATGGGTCATCGCTTCGTATTGGGCGCATCTGCTCGTAATCTGTGCTGAGACACGGATGAGCTTGGCCATTTCGCGAAAGCTTATGTCCTTTTTGCCGTCCTGTAGCGAGTACAGAATCTCCTTCAATTCCTCGGGGACTCCTAGTAGCCTTATCTCCTCAATGCTCTTCAGGAGGAAGTCCTTCTGGAACCCAGGTAGAGCTGGGTTATAGGCCATAGTCTTCAGCATGATAAGCTCCTCCTCCGTCAGGTACACCCAATTCTTGGGAAGCGGCCATTCTTTCCGTATAAGCTCCTCCTTGGCCAAACGAAGCTTTTCGGGGTCGGTCTCCTCTTCTGGCTTCTTTCCTTCCTCGTTCTCCTGCTTAAATTTGTCTGCCTCCTTGTCCAACTTCTTGTGTTGGTCTGCCTCTGCGTCCTCTTTCTTGGCTTTCTTTTCGTTTTTCTTCTTGGGAGCTTCTGGCTTGTTATTTGTTGAATAGAACTGCGATCGGTATGCGGCGAGGGGTGCCTGCGGGGCAAGTCGTGCTATTCTCGACGGCTGGAAACGCATCCGTGTGATCGGGTGCTGCGCAGTCCTGACAGCTTGCGCAAGCTGCGCCGACTGGCGCAGGAACCTCGCCATGATTGTGTATGCCGGTAGAGACGAGGCGGAACGACCGGGGCCGAGCTGGATATGTAATTCACCGCGTGCAGCGATGTGCTACCTCATTGAGGCAACTTGGTGGGTGCTGGGCGGTTGTCGGGTTGAGGATGGATATCCGGAAGACTTCAAGATGGAAATAATGACACCAGCCGCAGCGTTTTCGGCGGCGTTCGAAGAGTTCGAGGTGGTGGTGTTGGCGATTGGCCCAGGGTTTCCGGGATGACTGCGCGATGGCGAAAAGCTACCACCACCATTAGTGATGAGTTCATCTCGCTGCGGGTCCCATCGCAGCCCAGTTTTTAGCGGCACGTGACTCAAACTCCGTCCCGCCGCCAATTCTGTCGGTTGAGACGGGCTGCTTCCGCCGCAAACTCCGACCCGGACAATGACACTTGCATTCCACCTGGCGCTTTTTGGACCGCAGGCTTCCACTGGTTGACGTAGTCTAGAGTGTGGAGTGTAGGAAAGAGTGGAAGTATGGACGTCCTGCGCAGGGCTTACACGCAGGCGTCCGTTTGCTGTCAATTGAAGCACAATGCACGAATAAGTTGACGAGTAGTTCTGAAAATGAAGGAATTGAGTCTGCTATTGATCTTTCTTGTCAATGCTAGACGTATGTCCGCCACTCTATGGCAATATACACGCCGCACGATGGCCGCTGTCCACGGAGGGACCCCACATACAACATATTTTCCGCCTCAGCTGGGCTGATTACTAGTACATACGTTCAAAGTGTCGTTATTTCGTCTCACATGCCCATAAATAGACCAGATTTCCACCATGATATTCCATGCTTCGGTCCCGTGTGGGATTTCTCATCCGTTTTTCATCCTCGCCAGATCCACTGGCATAGAACTGTTCGTGCATCAGCCAACGTTTCCATTCTCCACCGTTGGGTACGCGCCGCCGCTCATCTCAGCCCAGTCCCAGTCCAACGTCATGGGAAGCGAAAATAGATCCTGCGGCAAGAGAGGTTGCTGATACGGCGCGCCCATATTCATCGGCGGTGAACGGGGGTTGTGGATTCCGCCAAATCCTGTCATCTCCGCGAAGTTACCAAATTGGGCCTGATCCGGCATTGGAAACTCGTGTGGCCATCCTGCCGACGGGAGAGCCGGAGAAGGTTCGCGCATCGAAGTGGTTTGCATAGGACTGAATCCATGCCTGCGACGGTTGGCTTCCCCGTTGAAGTCGGGGGACAGTTGTCCATTCGTCGCCGAGTTCGCCGAGGGAGTGACCGTCTGTGGAGTCGGCGTCGTCGCTGACACTGGCCGAGGTGTGTGAGAAGATGCGGCCGGGCTTGATGATACTTTCGGTGCCGCTTCGCTCTTGCGCTTCCGCCGTGACGACTGGTCTTTCTCTGCCTTCTCGATGACGAGCTTCGCAATTCTTTCAAACTCGGAACAAACACCCAGCATACGGTGAACACCGCCGGTCTCGGCTTCCTGACCTAGCATGGACAAGAAGTTGACCACCAGATTCATCAATCTTGTGTCGGACTTGGCTCTGGGATCCATGGGGTTCTGGAGAATGTTTCCGAAAAGTGTCATTAGTGCGGATACAGGGAAGTAGAGAATGAGCCTGCAAAGACTGTTAGTTACTGAATCTAGAGCCTGATGTATTGAGCTTAAACTCACCAGACACTCGAAGAGTCTCCCTGAGGCATGTACTTCAGCAAGGAGATGGATGCTCGCGCAGCTGCCGTGCACAGCGCTGCGGAAGAAAACACGCGTGGGTTAAGGGGTTTGGCGTTGAGCCCCTGGATGGCATAGTTGGACAAGCGACTGGTCCAGTATCCGTGATGCACCGACATACGGTGAATTGTTGTCAGGCAGTTGTAGTACGTCAAGTGAAGCATGACGACGTGAAGGATAAGAGGCGTGTGCGACGCCTGAATCTCGTGCTCTGGCCTGAAATCGATTGGAATCCTGTCCTTCCACTCCTCGAGCTCCTGATCCAGCTCTCCGATGGTGTTGAGAAGTTCGCCGGGGGATTGTTTCGTTGCCTTGGTTGAGTACAGGCGAGAGTAAACCTTGCTTTCGATTGTCGCAAACTCGCACATGACTCTGAATAAGTTCATCTTGCCCTTTCCTTCAGCCAAGGGAATGTTGCCGATGTTGTCCTCCGGGTCGGCGTCGGGAAGCTCCACGTTCATGTCGTCATCGTCTTGTGCGGGAGGTCGGCCCGCACGAAGGCACAAGTCCTTATCGAGCATATAAGCAATCCAGAAGACTCGCTTGCGTTGCTCAATCTCGATAGGGTTCAGGTTGAAACCGGTTCCCTTCTTGTGCAAACCAATACTGTGGGCGAGACGAATCGCAGTTGCGACGAGGACAAACGTAGGCTGAGGGTTCGGTGTGCCCTGCATGAACAGAGCCATGCCGAGCAGTGCTTGCACACTCAGCAAATCCGTGTTGCGCATCGTCAGCTCAGCAAATGTTCCGAGGGCATTCTTGATGTAACCCCATGCCTTCTCGTCCTCTTCCTGGGGCACGAGGTTGCTCATAACGCGCAGGCGATGGGCAAACGCCAGGGCGCAGTTCAAGCTCGCCCACCATCCGGTGCCCTCGTAGGGGTCGTCAGAATATTGCCGCTCAACCAGATGCATGAAAGTGGGCTGATGGAACAAGGGGAACATGCAGTTGAAGTTCTCAAAGTAATCTTTCAGCAGGGACAAAGCCTCGTGCTTCGGGGGCAACGGTCGGAAGATTGGTCGACGGAACAGGTCGCTGAAAACCTCTGGCTTCCACGCAGTCCACTTGTGGTCGTCAATCGATACCTCGGAAATCATCTGCTGGAATGAATTGTCTCCCGTCTTCTCGTGGACCCACTGGATACCCTTGGGGGAGAAAATGGAGAAGCCGGAGGAGGATCCGATGTATCGGGTCTCGCCACTTTGGTTTGTGACCAAGGAGCACATCATCTCGGACAAAGCCTCGACTTCTTCCTCGCTCTTCTCGGGTTCTTCGGGGTGCACAGATTTGCGCCTCTCGCCCTCTTTGGGTTCCTTGTGGGAGTCTTTCGTCGGTTCAGGAGAGGTAATCGCGCTTTGGGGAGTTGATTCATTCTCGTTCTGTCCCGAAGTTGCCTGGGATGGGGAAGTCGGGTTGGAAGCAACCTGAGAAGCTTGTCTCGACTGCTGATGTTTTTCGGCCAGGCGCTTCTCTAGAGTGCCAAGATCAGTTTCGCCGTTATCGTCCTCGCCGAGTAGACCTGTACAGCCAGTCAGATAAGGCCGGTCTCCTCGTGGGGAGCGGGATACAAACCTGAGAGTCGCAGCAAGTTTTCCATACGGCCTAGACGGTTCTCCAGTCCTTCGATGTACTTTGCTCTGCTATCGTGTCAGTCGGGCTACCCAAAGAGCCTGAACTGCGCGGCTGGACATACCCTTTTGGCGGGTTGCGCTTCTTCTCAACCTGAGTGAAGACACAGTCTGTCTTGTAGTTTATGCAATGGCTACATGCGGGTAGCTTGCCATCGCACTTAATCTTCTTCTTTCGGCACATGTCACAGGCCTGCGGGACATGACATGAGCACGTTTTCTACGACTGCACAGTTTCAATGGCCGGGTAAGGACCATCGTAGGGTGCTTACTCTGGCAATTCTCCTCCTCTTGGCTTCGTTCGCATCGTCAAGTAGCGTAGATGGGTCGCCGAACATATGCGCCGCTAGGTCAGGCGGCATGTGCCGAACGGGAAGGCCATCAGGAGTGTAAGCTCCAAAGATCTGGGGCGGTTGGTTCATCAATGGGGGCGGGTGTCCCATGTGAGGCATCTGGAAGCCCATGTGGTCCATGGTGGGCAAGTTTTGGTGGACAAGCTAGAATTCGCAGTCGGGCGTCGCAACGGCACGGTCGGGATCGGAAATACGGTGGTCGTCAAGCCTGGGGAAGCTGACGGAGGGCGAGATTGTCGTTGAGAGCGACGGTGGTTACCCAATCTCTCGAGCGCAACCAAGCTGGAGGTTGTCAAAGGGCTACGGAGGAGGGGAACAGCGGGACGGAAAAGACGAAGGGGCGTAAAAGTTGAGAAACCCGTCTCGGTATTTGCAAGCAGGTAGCGCGAGAATAGCGTAGCGGCGGGCGAAGCTCTTTGTAATTCGCTCGGTAAGCTGGTGGCTGAGTCGACAGGAAGCTAAGGCCGAGGTGGATAAGAAGCCCTGGAATTAAGTAAACCAAGGAGTGAGGATCGCGGCTGGCGGCACAACAAGCGATAGCGGGTTGCAGTTGCAATAGAAGTAGCGGTGCGGGATCAGCTAACGAGCGAAACTCCGATGCTGCTTCGCTGAGAATCCCGGTCTAGCCTGCGGTCGGTGGAGAAGGTGTCGTCGAGCAGAAGGTCGTCCACGTAGACGCCAAGGTAGGCAGGTGAATGGTACCTTAGCTAAAACAGAGGCGACAGGCGGGCGCGTGGGGTTTGGCTGTGTGTCGGTTTATTCGTGATGCGTATTTGTCGAGCGGTTTTGCTTCGTATGGAGGCCGTAAAATATCAGGTGGGTGGCTGCTGTCCGTAGGCCTTTCTTTCGTGTACTGCGTATGGGAGCAGGGGAACAAGCGGCGGGGAGGGAGGGGTATCACGTTCGGACGCCTGGGAGGAAATCGAATCGAATAATGAAGAGTTAACAGGACGAGGGAGGGGTGGGAGAAGAGAGGGAGGAGGCAGAGGTAAGTGCGAGCAGGAAATGATGGGACGGAAGGAGTAAAAAGCGAAGCAGTGTGGAATCGAGCATGGCAGTATCACATAACGACAAGCTGCTGCTCCTCCTCCTCCTGGTGGACAGGTTGGGGGGCGAAAGGCGTTACAGAGTTGCAGAGAGGTCCGTCAGTGTGCTTGCAGTGAGCGTGGAGTGGCACTGGTCAGCGGGGCGTAGCTGACGGGGGGGGCGCTTGTCTTGCCTGCGTCTCGCTGCCCTCCCGTCTCTTGCTGGGCACTTGGGCTCCTGAGTCCTACAGTGCCGCATATGTCGCTGTGGACGTCCATTCAGTGTCGTACCTGGGGGCTTGGGCACTGGGCCTCACTTCCATCACAGGCTGCTGGGCTTTGGTCCGGCCCGGAGGACTGGAGGGGGAGGGGGAGGGGGACTCCACAAGGGGGAACGACAAGGATGCCCGGAATGGCAGGATGCACTTACGGCAAGGCAGGAAAGACAGGGTACGACCACCTCAGGGTAAGTACCAGACGCGATACGTACCCGGCATTGGAGACTGTCAAACAGGACAGGCAAGAAGACTGATACAACCTACCTACCTACGGATACCCATCACCGGTATTCGTACCCATCCAGCAATGGCCCTTTGATGGAACTTCAGAGACCAAGGCAGCGGTAACCACGACTCACTGCAGATCCAATGACGGTATCACTTCGCTTCTTCCTGCTTTGTACGAGTCCTCAGCTGGAGTGACCTCGCCATGGCTTCGACACGCTCAACATCATTCAGACTCATCGACGAACCAGACAACGGGGACGTGCCGGCGTGGATCAGGGCAACCACCAATCGCCGCATCTATCCCGCGAGTTTCTTGTCTTTGCCACGTTTCTCTCTCTCTCTGCCAATCCCAACACCCGTCTTCGAGCTATTCTGGGTTGCTGCTCCAGCTCAGCTGCCGCCGTACTCCAACACGCTGGAACGATCCCGCCGCCACACACACACAACAATACACTCCGGCAGCTGGATTGGCGTTGTAGGACGACTTGTCCCGCACCCCACTGGCTACTGCATCTCTCGACGAAAGCTGTAAATAGCAGCTCCTCCATTCTATGTCTTCCATCGCCATCTCGTCCCAACTCTAAGCTTGCCTCCCGTTGGTTCAAGCGAGCTCACGAATCATGGGGCGGCACTTGGACGACGTCGCAAACCAGCCATGCGAGAAAACCAGACAGTGAGATCATGGATCTAGATCCAGTCAGGGGTTGTCCACGACAAGAACCGCATTGCCAAACCCTGATGCTTCCGCGGGCTCCCTCCCCCCTCTTTGACACCTCGTTCTCCCCAACGGCACTGCTTTACCTCCAGCTCAGAGTTCCAACCCTCTTCATATCGGGGTTTTTTCCTTCTGTCTCACTTTTCTCCCCTTCAACCTTGTCTTGACCCTCACCCCTCACACCCCAGTCACTCTCTCTGTCAGTCTGCGACCCTGGCGCGGCAGAGCGTGAGCACAACTGCCCCGCGACGAATCACATCATCCCCGTCAGCTTGACAGCACCCATCCGGAGCCCGTGCGGCGCTTCCTGCAGTCAGTCACTCCCCTTACATGCTGTCTCGCGCGCGCGCGAATGAAGGTCGCCTTTTTCTCGACTGTTCAAACCATCGTACTCGACTCAAGAATACGGGATGGAACCGCTTATCACAGCAAAGTCCTCGGCATCATCCAGCCAACCGCGCGGCATGCCACAATGTTCAACAAGCTCCAGCTCCTTTCCTCGTTGGACGAAACTTCGGTGCTCGGGCTTAGCACGCTGAGTTCGGGATGACCCAAAGACAAGGGTTGCTTGATGTGACAGGCAGAGCAACGCACGGTGGGAGCAGCGAGTAAGTGGCATAGACCTCAACCGTCTTATGCCTTGCAACAGCTCTTTCCCGGCTCGTGCCTCCTTTCTCAAAAGGCTGCTTGGGTTCGCCGTGCCCTAGCAATAAGTTTGCCTTTATCCTACTTGAAGCTATGGTAACAGCTTATTAGCACTTATTTCTCGCTTCATCGCCATGTTTGCCTCTCGATATCGAAAGCGAGGCGAGGCAAATCAGGGTCAACACCTTAATAAACTGGGGGTTTCACCTCCTTGATCCGAGTCTACCGGCGACTGCTATCTACTAATCTAGGGGTCTCACAAACTCCACTGTCCACATCCCGTCCGTTCCCCCTTCCATGAACGAGGGGTAAGGACATCGGCTCGTCAAGTGGAGCCTCGCATGTGGTGAAGATACAGCGAGAATCGGTTCCTGACAAGGTCCTATCCCATTGGACAAGTCAGGGCGTAATCCAGAACGACGAAAGATTCAGGTGGTTCTCGCCTCTTCGCTCGTTCGCCTCAGCAAGTTCCTCCGTCTGCTGAACTGATTGCACCGAGGTCCGCGACATGCAAAGCTTCTCGAAGGCAATATGAGCAGGGCTGGCCCCTAGACGGAACAAGACGCCATCGATGCCGTGGTTCAAGCCTCATCGGACGGCCAGTATGGACGTCGCAAAACAGCAAGGTGGGGGCTGGAGGCCCCGACGAGTTCGCAACACACACATGGTATCCGCCCAAGAGGTTCTTGCACTTTGTCCTGCCCGTCATGCTGCCGCCGCTTCTGCTGTTGCTGCTGCGGGTCTCCTTTAAGCTCTGGCCGGATGCACAGACTATGTATGTGAGGCAGCGGGAAGATCTGTCTTTCAAGTCAGGTCTCGTGTACGGTATCAGACTAAGTACTCCCCGGTACGTCGACCGAGCTTCCCAAATCACGGCGAACGCCGCTCTCAATCTTCTTGTCGGCCTCTGGAAACTTCAACAACTACAACTGTCCAAAGCAGACTCAGTTGTGGGCGAGAAGCAACCTCGGCGCTTCTAGACGAATGTCATTTGATCCAGCTCATCCGTTCCTAGTCCACACGCCTCCAGCCAGCCCTGAGAACGAAAAGAAAGATGTTTCATCCCGTGTTCTAGATGGGACGGTAAACACCGATAAACACCTGATAGATGAGACACCCGCCAACACACAACGAGCTCAACGATATCCACAGGGGGGCCGAATGAGGACGAGGCACCATCGCACTCTCTTTCACAATAACCAGAGCGTCGTCTCCGGTTGAACCTGCAGTAGGTAGCACCAGGCATGGAGAATTTGTCATGCAGGGTCCAAGCACGTTCGGAACCACACATCTTTCTTCACCACCTCTCCATTCTCCCGTTTCACATCTGTCTCAAGAAACCTCACCCTCACCACCCACCTCCAGGAAATTTTCTGGCCCGCACTCAAGTTCAACCACCCGCATCCCACCGCCAATGCCGTCCTTCCGCTCCGCCCCTTTGCCCAGAACCTCCGACACGGCCAAGAGAAGACTCTTGGTTGCGCCTTCCCAGCGTCTCCACGCCGCGCGCAGCAGCAGCAGCAGCAACAGCCGCAGAAGAAGAACGGGAAAGATGTCCCGAATGCGCGCATCCCCTGGATCTCCCTCGCTTCCCCCCACGAACTAACGTGTCTTCGCCTCCGCCCGTTGGTGTAGCAGGTTACGAAAATCACGAGTGCAAGCGAGCAATGGCCGCACCCACGTCGTTTCCCGCAAAAGGAGGCAGCCCGCTTACCTCACCAGCAACGTGAAAGTGTATGACGGCTACATGCCCTCTCTTTCTGTTTTCCTATGCGAGAAACTATTCTGAGGGTATCCACCGCCGCTCATCCGCGCTTCCGGTCTCTTCCCCTGTGAACATCATTTCATCCACCCGAACCATATCAGACGGGTCCTCTGGTCCTTGCTATAGGACTTGAAAAGACCGGCCTGGTCTCTGCTATCGGACTTACAGGCCCAGCCGATCTACATTATGCGGCGATTGGACACTGCCACACACAGACAAGAGACTGGTCGTCACTGACCTTGACAAGACCTGGACTAATTAGCCCGGCAAACGTAGACAAGCTTTCGTCACATGGAACCATGGGAACCAGACATGTTGGGTTGCGCATGAACCAAGCAGGACGTTATTCGTAGCAGGGTAGATATCAGAAGACTTTTCTTGTCGTCTCCCCTCGTCGGGACGAAAAAGGGAGCATGAGGCAACGATCGTCACCTCCCGTATCCCCCCATACCAGACCAACTTTTGTGAGAAAGAATCTACATACAGGCAAAGAAAACGCTTTGCCCAACCCAAAAGTCCTCAATGACTCCCACAAAAACCCCTGCACCGGACCGTCGCAGATGTTCCATAACTGCGGGCAGCCCGGTCCTGAGAAATGAGAAGCCGCGCAAAAAAAGGTTTGTGAACCTGACCCTCTCTCTCTCTCCTCAGGATCCTTGTTCGCCCCCGACAAACGCGAGGGGACTCATACCAGACAGACATGACTTTCTGCCTGCCTGCCTGCCCTCCCCCTCCAACACTAGAACGCCAATCCCATATGCTGTCGTAGCCGAAAACAGAATTTTTCGAAGGGATAAACCAAGACAATGTAAAGAAAAAAAAAAAAAAAAAAAGAGGTGACCTCCCTCGACTAGGTACTAAGAATTATCTTTGTGTAAAAGATGTGTGAGAATGTACAGTACGCTTCAAAGGTACGTCGAGCCAGCACGAGCCGGCTTCGGTGAAGGAGAAAAAGGAGAAAGGAAAAAGGTGATCCGGAGTCCAGGCCGGGAGGGACGAGTGCGTTTTCACATGTCCTCTTGGAACCTGGACACGGAGCCCCGAGACCCCCGCGACCCGTCCTGCGAATTCAAGGTCCGGCCAATGGGGTCTCGTGGCGGCGAGAGGGTCGAGTCAGGCGGTGCCGGAAACGGAGCCGACTCCGTCACCGGCGTCCGGGCCGGGCCCGGCTGCATGGTGATGACGCCGCTAACGGGTCTCATCGGCGAGCCGAGTGCAAGTCGCGTTTGGCCCGCGCCGCCGGGCTCGAAGAACGCTCGAGAGTCGCGGTAGTAGACGGATTCGTCGTCGTTGGCGGTTGCGTCTCCAGCGGTTTCGCGCGGGTCCGTGTAGCCATCACCTCCGGCCTGGAGGACCGACGGCAGCTTCCTGCCTGCAACCCTCACAAAGCCTCTCTCGCCGGTTTCGGAAGGTTCGCTAGCTCTTCTTGAGTGCGGCTTAGCCGCGGCAGCCGCGCCGCCAATTGCGGCCGAGCCGAACGTCACGGCCCTTTGTGTCATTCCGGGACGGCTGCCGCTGTCGGGTCCACCTGAGCCGGTGAGGATTCCCCGGGCGGCCTTTGCGCTGACTTCGCTAAGTCGGAGTCGTCCACCGGAGCGCTTCTTCCATCGCAAGGCAAGAAAAGCGAGGAGCACGAGAAACGCCACGCCTGCTACGCTTCCCACTACGCTGCCCACAACGGTGCCGGTTGATGGTGCCGAATCGTCGCTGCTGGAACTGCCCGGGGTGGATGTTGACGTGGGTGATGCTGAACTGCCGCCCCCGATGCCGCCCACGCCGCCGTCGCTCCCATCTCCTCCAGCTGTCGTTTCAGCGGAACCTGTCGATGTGCTCGTGGCAAAAGTGTTGGTGGTGCTGAGGCTGCCGGTGGTGGTGGTAGTTGAACCAGAAGATGAATCGGAAGTCGATGAAATGGATGAAAGCACTGAAGATGTTACGCTCGTCGAGCCGGACGAAAACAGGCTTGTTGAAGTGGTTGCGGTAAGGACTGATGTAGAAGATGAATTTGTTGACGTAAGGAATGCTACAGGGATCGGTCAGTCGTCGCGGTCACGGTGGAACGAGGGAGGAAGGCTCACGAATTGTTGAGTTAGAAGGAGCACTCAACGAAGAATAAGCTGACGGCGCCGCAGACGATGCCGGTACTGAGGATAAAGGATTGGACGTCAAGGGAATATCTTGACTTGTGGAAGAGCCCGCGGGCGATGGTGTCGTCGAGGAGGTCGTCGCCGGGGGAGTCGACAGGGATGAGTCGCTCGAGGAGGACGCAGTTTCGGAGGAGTTGATGTCTGTGGAGGTCTCGGTGGTGGAAACAGCTGCGATGGACAGGCCTAGGTCAGCACTGGCGCTGGCGCTGGGCGACGTGTCGGCATCCACGGTGGCGGGAGGAGCGTAGTGAGTCTGAACTTCGATGGGGGCGCCGGAGGCATCGACTACTTGAACGATGGAGACGGTCTGGACGACGACTTTGCGAGAGGAGGAGGAGCTGCTGGATGCGGACTCGGGAGTGGGGCTGTTGTCGGCTTCGTCTGTGTCTGTCTGGCGGCGGTGGTGGTGGTGAGGAATCGCATTCTCGTGTGAGGCGGCGCGCTTGTTGTGTAAATGGTAATGATTGTGATGGTATGAGCGGGCCTGAGGGAGTGAAGACCCGCGCAGTGATTTAGTCATGGTTGTGGATTTGGGGTGGCGTGGGCAGTAGGCTGAGCTACTGCCCGGTCTGGTTGGCGGAGGTGTCGTTTGTTCCCGAGAGGGAGGCGAATGTCGAGCTGGCTAAGCCGAGCGGAGCGAGAAATATAAAGATAGAACGGGCGGATCAAAAGCCCCGTAACGAGTGTGGTGGTTGGTGTTGAACGAGTGTGGTGTGCGTGTGAGCTGTATGGACGGGACGTGTCGATCTATTCAGATTCCATGCTTGATTTGCTGCTGTTCATGACCGTTGGAGTCGATGTCGATGAATTGCATCGTCTGGTGGTGCGCTGCTGGTGGTGGTGGTGGTGGGTGTCCGTCCTGCAGCGGGCCGCGAGCGAATGAGTGGCCGGTAGCAGAAACGAAACAGAACAGCAACGGTGAAGAAGCAAGTCAAGAAAAACCCCCCTCTTTCTCAGTCAAAAAATGAGGGACGCCTCGTGGTTCGTTCAGCCGTTTCTCGTTGTCCGCGTGCTCGATGCTGTGTCGTTGGTCTGTCTCCCTTGCATCTGCCAGTTCTCATGGCCGATGTTCAGGTTGATGGCATGGCGGCAGCGCGGTGGCAAGAGGGGAAAAGAGGAAAGGAAAGAAGAGATGAAGCGAGGGACTCGGGTGCCTATGGGGGGGACGGTGGAGGTCGAGGCTCAACGATAATAATAAGCATCGGGGGCCGGAAAGTGAAGAGAGGGAAAAATCTGAGAATGAGCGCAGGAAACAAAGCGTGGAAGCAGCAAGCAAGCAAGCAAGCAAGCAAGCAAGCAAGCGCTTGATTGTGTGTGTGCAGTGCCATCCATCTCTCTCTCTCTCTCTCTGTCCACCCACTGCTACTGCGTGTCTTCCCAAGACCAGTCGGGGGCCACATGCAGTCACTCTCGCAGGAGTGGTAGATTTCGATAATCTCGCTTGATATGGGCGGGTGGCTGCTAGCTGGAGGACATCGCGCCCCATTGGCCAACCAGAGGGCCCCAAAGTTGCAATGAGCAGTTCCACTGTCCACTATCACGGGGAACCAGGACATGGACCAGGGCCAGGGCCAGGACCGGGGGAGAGGGAGAGGGAGAGCCAGTGTCCACCTCATTGTGTTGTGCCTGCCTGCCTGCCCGCCCGCCCGTGCTCACCTGCCAGCCAGCCAGCCAGCCAGGGCGGGCAACCAGGGCAGGGACGACGACACCACTTCAGGGACACAGGAACAGAGGCGTCGGGTACCTTGCTGAAAACCTGCCTGTGGCTGCAGGTACGTACGGCACACCGCACCTCACACTGAGTGGCACGGCGACCCTTTCACAAGGGATGAATGAGACGAGCATCGTGAGCATCTGTATATATTCGTTGATCTGACCGACTGACTAGTTCAGTACTCGCAGGCGAAACGACTGGATATCAGAAGAGAACCAACATCGCCTACCGGGGCCGGACCACCTTGTTCTGGGTCAAGGCCGATATGGGATGAGATGAGATGGATGGGACGAAAGTCTGATTGATTGCCTCTCACTGCTCACTCAGTAGGTACTTACCTAGGTAGTCAGTAGTCACCCACGGCAGTGACTAAACGACTGGCCAGCGCGCTGTCGTGTAGCTTTATTTGGCTGCAGGCCCGTGTGCAGACGCTGCCCTTCTCTGCGCGTCGATTGGCGCCGTTGGTTTCGCCCAGGAGATCATGGCGGCACCTGCTCCAACTCCAAGAATGGACCGCGTGTCCCAGTGACGAACCCATCTGCTATGCAGTACACTAAAAAGCTCATGACGGGTCAGGACCCAACTCGACACGATCTGGACTCGACCGACGACACCCCGAACCGTCAACGGCTCTGTAGCGCCATTCCTCATCGAGCAGCCCCTCAAGATTCCACCGCGGCTTCCCTTTGGAAAGTGCTGTGAATCTTACCTACCTAAGGTACCTACGGATTCTTCGTAAAGAGCCACTGCCAAAAATACGAGCCAACCACTTTCCATCTGGCGGCGCTCCGTGAGACATCCGAAAAACACGTTTGGTTTGTCCCTGCCATTCTTTCAAAATGTTTTAGCGGCACAGAAAGAAGAAAGCTCAACCATGAAAGCTAAAAATGGTGCCACGAATCTCACCCGTTCCGTCATCCCACTCACCCTCACCCTCACCACACCACCCACCACCCAAACGAGACCCGGCCCAGGGCCATGGATCGCAATCGCCCTCTGCCTCGGCCAGACAATCGATTGTACTCGAACTGACAACTGGACCACCGAGATCCTGTCGACGAAGGACGTCGCGTCACCCAGTCCATATTGTCTCGTCCCGCAGTCCGTAAGCCCACAAAGGCTTACTTACGCGCCTCGTATCCTTCTCCGCCGCTAGGCCCACGACAAGCCTTTTTTCCACCGACGCCGCCACGCAAATCCAGCCAGCAGGACAATACAGCGCATTCCTGATGCAGATGTGCGCTTCTGTCGTGGTTCGTCGCCCGCATATGGTGCGCTGTACCTGCATCTGACCCTGGCCCATTGAGGTTCTTTTGGGGAGGAGTCTAATGGGGCGCCTTGCCATGCCATCCACAGTCCGAGTCCCTTGTTTGCTTCTTCTCCCCTCTCACTCGGAGAACGGCTCGCCGAAACGCATAATATTGAACGCTTTTAAGACGAGGGGGCTGCCCAGGGCTGCAAAAACGTCGTGCTGAGAAACCGCTGCTGGAGCACATACCCGCACTTTCACGAAATGAATATTGGCTGTTGTGCATGCGACCTCAGCATCCTCGGGGTGCGAATCTTTACCGCACACCGAGATGCCCAGCCGTCACCTTGACGAAGGATGCATCACTTCCCATCACCAAAGAAACACCTTGGGATGACACGCCCACATGCCGTGCCGATTCGCTGCTAGTGACGGATCGCGCAACCAGCCCGTTCGCAGAACCAACGGCACTGCTGGATAGAGAAAGGTGAAGCTTGGCGGCTCTGGGATGCATGGGACGAATTTTCGCTCCCGTTGAAACAAACACTGGGGGGGGCCCCTTTTCAAACCCCTTCCCTCGTCCAAATGACGGAACTGGGGAGCTGTCTGGCGATGCCGTCCTTGAGCATCCACTTGGAACCTCTTCACTGCCTCTTTGACAATGGGTCACGGATCCACGATCCGCTCGGCTTCTTCCCCGTTGGAGCCATAGTACACGGATTATGGTCTGTTCAGATACACCAACGTCTCAGGATAGAACCTCAAAGTCCGGAGTTGATGTTTTTTTCTTCAATTGTATCCGTACATTTTCAAGTCATTCTCAACCTCGCGCGGTTTTTGAACGCGTGCTGGGGTAGCTGTCGATGCCGCTCCACAGATGTACGTAATGTTCCTCCTAAACCCCGAATGGCTTGGGGCTTCGACATGGGACACGGCGCTGTGTGGAGTTTGTGACGGAAGAAAGCTTGGAAAGTTCGATTTGATTTGAACAAAGGCCCGGCAGAATTGTGCCTAAGAATGCTGTGCAGCTGCCGTGTTCCCCCCCACGCCTTGCGGCCGTGGTATATCGAACGCCCAAACATGCACGAGAACAGTCTAAGCCAAGGGACACCGCACCAGGCCCAAAGTGACGGGTTCTAGACGACGGTTGGCCGCAATAACGGCTCGTATTGGATGTCGCGCAAACAGTCGTTTTCGGGAGCTCACTTACACGATGCTGATGCCGCGTCCCGGGCGTCCGTCCGTCCTGTCCTGTCCCGTCCCGTCGACTCGCCTGAAGATGAGAGAGACCGGCGTCGCGGCGCCGAGTTGGTTTCTTTCCTTGGCAGAATGATGTCGCACCTTGAGAGGAAAAAAGATCGACGGACACACCCAGGGCAAGACAGGTCCCTCTCGAAGTGGGCGACGAGGGTGTTTCCCCCTCCCCAAATCTAATCTAATCTCGCAATTTCCCTCTGGCCCCCTCCGAATCGAGCAAGATGACCGCGGTGCGTTTGATGGAACGTAATCAGACTGGGTCTGTTGCGAACCTGATTTTTAGAGGGTCGGCATGTTGAATCGAAGTTACGGCCAAGAGTTGGCGATATCACCAATAAGATGAGGCTATATTACAAGCTTACTATCGTTCATTGTTTTGTTTCAACAAGACAGAGGCGAGAAAGGCACCGTTTAAGTTCGAGCAACGTCGCACCATCCGGCGGCCATTCAAACAGAAGGATTCAAACTCTCTGGGCTTTGTTTTAATGACTCAAAACACGTGGGTTCTTGGGCACTGCCACGGGCAAGCTCTCATACTGCAATCTCGTTTGGCATGGCTGTGCCCTTTTACCCCGATTCTTGTCACGCTGGAACCAAGCGAAGGCCAGAGTCAAAAACATTGTAAACCAAACAACCGTCCAGACTCCGGAGACGGAACTTTGCCAAGTACGGGGAACAATGCACCCAGCCATATGCTACGGCACTTACTCATCGCCATTGTCGAGGCTGAGGCTCGTGGCTGATTACTCGTAAGTCTATGAATGTTGTACAAACTCAACTCGTCTATAGAGAAATTATCAACGACACAGCCCGACTGTCGTGATTGGACCAGAAGGTCAGACCAGGCAAGCCCTGCCATTTCTTCATGGCAGTGACAGGCTCTATGCCTGCTGCGATGCCACTCACACTGTCAGCGCCATCTGCCATGTGTCGCTGAACACCATCACCGCGAGCCGATACTTCGGGATGAGTTCAATGCACTTGATGACCATCGACAGTACCATGGCGCAGAGGACAGCTTCAACGCGCATCGTTCATGGCATTGAAAGACAAATCGACCGGGCCGTCTGCCGCTCCAGGTGTTTCGCGCCTGAGCATGTCGTCATTCCCGTCTGGTCCTCCCACAACCCCAGCCAACCACCTGCTCTCAACTGCCTCGTCCCCACCAATCAGTGCAGCTCTACGGCATTCCCGTTGGAGAAACTGACGAATCACCCTTCAGCGTACCTAGGTAGTAAGGCGCCGCACTGGCCCTGAGCGGGCAGTGAGCTCAGTGGGTAGCAACCCCAAGTGCCCTGTCCTGCTGGAAAAACCGGGCGCAGCACGCAGCAAGCAGGCAGAGCTACCTTAGCTGCTTAGCAACTCAAGCAGTAACGTAAACCCGCGTTTCGCCATCGCTTTTCCGCGTATATCCTATCAGGAAACGAGAAATGTAGTTACCTTAGCTAGTTAGGTAGTTATTGTAGTGTGCCTTGGTAAGGCAGGTGAACTGAGAGTACGTACGGCAGTGACCTGACCTGGAGCTGCGGACCACCACCACGGCGCCTTGTTGCCGACTACGTACCCAGCATAGCACGGCAACATCCCCTTGTCACGCACGTTAGGTTCTGGTCCGACCAGCCAAGCCAAGGAAAGAACGGCTCAAGGTCAAGAACAACTGATTGTCGCTCGTACCTGAAGCTTTAAACAATCGTCTGGCCCTGCTTGCCTACTCGACCTACCAAGGAATACAGCTTGATACCTGTCCTGGTGGCCAACGTATCTGGACCCCAACTTGCCTTAATTGCTCATTCTTCACGACCCTAGATTTCCCCTCATCACACCCCCGATCTACCAAATCTTCCCCCCGCGGGCGCTTCGCCCTTCGCCTTCTAAACCATCCTTCCTGACAGACTTACCCCTCTCTCATTTCATCCATCGCTTGAGTGACACGAAGCCTGACGTCATGGACCAATATCATTACGACGACGGACCCTCGTCTTCATCGGCACCACCACCGCCCTACTCCATCTCCGCCCCGGGCTCCGGCTCCTTCGCCGGCTCCTTTGACGGGCCCGCCTCGTCATCCCTTCACCCACCTGTCCCGACATCAAGCCACAGAGCCTCAGGCGCCACACCGGAGAAGACTTCCCACACCTCATCCTCCGCCGGCGGCTTCCTCGATTCGAAACGGCGCCTGGCCGATCCTAGATCGTCATCGGCCCAGTCCCTTGCCCCATCCCTCGAGGACCGTGACGGCGATGCCCGCCGGACCTTGCTCATCATCTACATTCATGGCTTTTACGGCAACGAGTCGTCTTTCAGGTCCTTCCCGGCCCACGTTCACAACTTCCTAAAGGACACTCTCGTCGAGAGCCATGTCATTCACTCAAAGATCTATCCCCGCTACAAAACTTACAAGGCCATCGATGTTGCTCGTGATAACTTCAGCCAGTGGCTCGAGCCGCATGAGTCGGACAAAACTGATGTCATCCTTGTCGGCCACTCCATGGGCGGCATCCTTGCCGGCGAGGTCGCTCTCATGGTAAGTTATGAAATACGCACGGCGTTTTCACGTTTGCTCACGAGGTCCGCAGCCAAATCGGCATCCGTACAGGCGCCAGCCTTTCAAACACCGTATACTCGGCACCATCTCACTCGATTCGCCTTTCCTTGGACTTCATCCAGGCATCGTTATTGCTGGCATTGCCAGCTTGTTCAGACCAGCCTCGCCGCCGCCCGAAGAGGTCGATAACCAGCTAGATGCGTCCAATGCCCACCTCAGTCCAGGTACTTCAGCCATGAATAGTCCCAATCCGTCTATGCCAAGTTTGGAATCAACCCCTTCCCTCGACGCGCAGCTATCTCCTCAAGGAAGCAACGCGCCGTCTATCGCTTCTTCCAGTGGTCCGCCGCAAAGCTCCGACCCGTGGTTCAACCCGCCCTTTTGGAACGATGCCAAGTTCAAAGACCGCCCATTCATGAGGCGGATAGGCCACTTCGCCAAGAAGCACAGAGCCGAGGGCGTGTGGGATCCCATCAAGAACCACCTCATGTCCCATCTTGAGTACGGTGGTTGTCTTGCAGACTACAAGGGCTTGAACCAGCGATACAACAGGCTCCGCGCTTTGGAGGATATCGATCCGCTGCAACATCTCAAACAGAACAACGGCCAGGGCGCGAACGCAAACCAGCTGCCGCCGTCAGCCAGGGTGCGGTTCATAAACTACTATACCCTTAGCTCGGGTAGACCCAAGAAGCCCAAGTCGCCAAAGACGCCAGACTCGCCGAGATCTCCGGATCATGACATTGCGGGACAGATGAGCACCCTTGACGTCAATTCCCAGCTCTCACCACACGGGTCATCGACAGCCAGGATTTCTGTCGATAGCTCTGATGGCGAGCATTTTGAGATTATCAGCTCTATTGAAGCCGTAGATAGGAAACTATCAACTCTTCACGAGGAACAGCAGAAACAGTCCGAGAACAAGACGGATGATAGTACAACGGAAAAGAAACCCGAATCAAAAGGCAAAGAAAAGGAGGTTCCCGAGGGGCAGGAACCCAAGGGCAAGCAAAAGGAGGAGGCGAATCGAGAGGAAACCGGGGAACCTTCCAAAGTAGAAGAGAACGAGCCGATTTCCGGCCAGGCGACACCGGCGGAACCTGTCCAGCCTGAGACGCCAGCAGACTTTGACCTTCCTCCCATCCCCGACCTCCCTCCACAGCCAACACCGCCAGATCTCGACAAGTACACGGATAAGGATGCCCGCAAGCAAGCCGAAAAGGAGGGCAAGCGCGCGCAGAAGGCCTATGACCAAGCAGTCAAGAGCCGCGAGAAGGCCATCAAGGAGCGCCAGAAGCTCGTCGAGAAGCGTCGTAAGAAGGCGGAAAAGGAAGCCCAGAAAGAGGCCCAGCGGGTCGAGAAGGAGGAGCAGAAGAGGCGGCAGCAGGAGGAGCTCGGCCAGGCCAAGTCCCGTGAGGACGCGCTGAGGGCCGTGGAGGCAGCACAGCGACGGGCAGAGGCGGCACAGCGGGAGCTAGAGGCCGCGCAGAGACAGGTGGAGGCGACGCAGAGAGAGACCGACGCCGCGAGGAGACAGCAACCGGCGGTGAAGCCTGAAGCCGCGGAACAACAACAGAAGGCGCTTGAGATGTCTGACTCGGAGTCCGAGCCGGAGTCGCCCACCGGTTCCCTTACGCAGGTCGACCCTAGGCCGATATCACAAGACGGACCACAAACACCGTTAGCACCTCCGCCGCAACCGAGAGCACCCCCGCCGGCTCTGCCCCCTCGGATGCCCTCGTCTTCAAGCACGGCCCAGACAGCCCCGGCATCATCGTCAGCATCGCTCGCCCCGACACAATCCAGGGAATCAGCGACCTCCTCTCGCGGACCAGCGCCAGCCGGGGCAACCCCTCAACAACCCAAGAAGCAGCGCAAGTTCTGCATGCTGCCCAGCAAGACCAACGGCCGTCGCGACGAGACGTGGGTGCCCGTCTACATGGAGGGCATGGACGAGGTCGGCGCCCACTGCGGTCTCTTCGTCCCGGGCCCGCACTATGATAGGCTCATCGGTGACATGGGCGAGCGCATCCTGGGATGGGTGCAGGAAGATATGACGGCAAGGGCCATCTTGGAGATGTCCTAGGAGGTAGACGTGAGATGGTTGCGGACGGTGTTAGCCTGCAGCTCGTCTGGCCAGGAGAAGGGAGGGGTGTCAAGTCTCTACTGCAGTAATCACAACAGAACATTGCAAAGGCGGACGTAGGATATGTCAACAATGAGAAGAACCCCTTTTGAAATATCAGTACACTCTACGCCGGGGACAGTCCACTTTTGACTGATATGTCGGCGTCTGGTGCCGTCTATTGAATTACTTGATGTTTGTTTGTGTGTGATAGTAGTGCTACAACGACCCAGCCTGGCTTTTTTTTGTGTGTCCGGTATGATGTGGAGGTCGTGGTGGTCGAAAAGCCCCGTCCCGTTCCTCCCCTTCGTTGCAACCTTTGAAATGATGCCCCATGACCAATGTGTGGTATTTTTTTATCCCCTTCCCCTTCCTTCCCCGAATCCATCCCTCTTCAGTCGGTCATGTTTCGTTGTCAACCTTTTGACTGAATGCGTGGAATAAAAAAAAACGACTTGAGTAGTCTCAGAAATAGAAGAAATCGACTGTCCCCCGAACGCCCTGCTGGAAGTGGAAAATTCATCAAAAGTGTGCAGAATACCCGCCCTTGATCTGTGAGCGGCAGTAAACTGAACCGCAAAAGTGTGCCTTCCTTTCACCCCACGATGGTCGTTGCTCATAGATCCTCCGATCCAAACGGTCGTTATCCGTATCACCGGTGTACCCGTGAGACATTCTGAGCAAAACCCAACACCCTGACGAGTTAAGGGCAGGGAAAGAAAATGCTGCCTACCGCCTCCCCTCATAGGGGATTGCGGAGCGTCGAGCCGTAACCTTGTTCTTTGCGGGGGGCGGCTGCTATGCGCCCACGGCGCTCGAACCGTAGCCTTGCGGACGCATCGTGTTCGGGAACGCCTGCCCGTTACCGCTATCCTGTGACGAGTCAGACACAGATATAGGCGGCCCGGATGAGGCATCACCCACCTTCTTGCGACGCTTCTGGCCTCCCCTGTCGTCGCCATCTCCCGTAGAGTAGCCGTCGTCGGGGAAGCCCTCTCCGTAACCCTCAAAGCTGTTGTCGCCATAGCCTCGCTTCTTGGTCCGTTGCGGCCGTACTGCACCTGGAGCTGTCTGCTGCTGCTTGCGCGCGAACGGGTTCGGCGTGGTCGCGGAGGGCGTTCCGGGCGCCGTTGCCTTGCCTGCGAGACCTTGCCTCAGGGCCTCTACGCTGCCTGTGGCGAGATCTCCCAGCACTGAACTGTCCCAGTCTTTGACCGGGATGGGACCCTTGGCCATGGTCGTCGCTCTGCCCAGCAGCGATTTCACGGTGCCAGACAGGCCGTTGGTGATCGGATCTTGCCGAGAGTTCCAGAACTCTGCATCCGGGATTTCCAACAATTCCCTAAAGCCGTGGTACGCTTCTCTCTTCTTGTCGCCGTCTTCTCTGGGAGCATCCCATTCCTGAGCGACAGAGTCGAAGCGTCCGAGGATTCCCAGTTTCTTGATCTGACCCTTGTAGGTCTTCCGTAGAGCATTCTTCTCACCGTTGGGCTTTTCGCGAGCTACTTCTGCGGCGATGCCGGTCAGGTTGAACATTTCAAAAAGATCTTCGGTGATTCGCGGCAGTCTCTCGTGGTGCGCTATTTAGCTCAGTGTTAACCAAATTTGTTCGGCATACATGACAGTATCAAAACACCCGATACGTCATTAGGAAGGGGATTTGACAAGACAGCCTGCAAAAGTGACAGGAGCCTGCGAAGGGAGCCTTACGAGTTTGGCAAAGTAGGTATTTCTCTCCGACATCCAGGTGGAGTGCCTCGATACCAGTTTTGCTATCCTCGATGTGGACTTTCTTCTGCTCTCGATCGCCAAGATCTTCGAGCGGGCGCTTGCGCTTGTGGGGCGAGTCATCGCCCATGATGATGTCCTGAGACATGTCGGATGGCTGCGATGCGCTTCCGTTGACGCTGTGGGCTGGTGTTGGCAGTGTCGTGGTCGATGACGGGGCCGAGCTGTTTATGCTCGACGCGGGATCGGAGGTGCCAGGAGAAAATTGAGAAGGACTCTGAGGAGTTCGAGGGTGGAACGACATGGTGACGTTGCCGGGTGCGATGGGTTCTCGATCGAATCGTGCCGTCGCCGTTGCCGTTGTGGTGGTGGTGGACGTCGTCGTTGTCAGGTGAGGAGAAATGGGAAAGGTCGGAATACGAGGGATGGTAGCCGCTATCGGGAAGCGTTCCGGGTGGGAAGGAGCGAAAGAAAAACCCGGCTGCTATTCGGAAAAGGTCGTAAAGAAGGGTTTCGAGCGGGATTCACGATGCGCTCGATGGCTGTGGTCGTCCTGGGCTCGATCAGAGGATGAGGGGGTTGTTGTGGCGAGTCGCGCCAAACCGCCGACGGCTCTCGATCCCCCGATGCAGCGTCATGCACCGCAGTCCAATTAACCGTGGATCGCGGCCGACTTTCCTGGGTGATAAAAATTTTTGCCTGTGCCAAAATCCAACTGGCGTAGTGAAAGCGACAAAAAAATCCGACGGCGATGGGCGGCTGTCGAAGATCGGTCGTCGATTCGCGGTGTTTTGGCGGTAGGTCGTGGTGGAGTTGAAGGAGATGAAGTCTGAACGGCGCTGGGTAGAGTGAAGGGGGCGGACACATGAGCGAGGCAATTTGCTCGCTTAACGGGGGTGGCCGCCTGGGCTGGGCCGTGGGCTGCGCTGGCTGGCACTGGCACTGGCACTGGCTGAGGTAAGGTGAGGTGCGGTGGAAGAAGGGCGGGCGGGAGCGAGTGGACGAGGTAAGTTTAGCAAGGGGGTGTGCGCTGTGTGAGGTTACCTCCAGTTGTGTGCTGTCGGAGGGAGAGCGAAGGGGGGGAGTGGGCCTAGGCTTTGCCGCGGGATTGGAGAGAGGTGGAAGTCGAAGGGGACTGGCGGGGGAAAGAGCAGGAACCTGAGCAGGAACCTGCCTGCCTGCCTCCTGCCTGCCGTTCTTGGGACCGACCGGAGCAGCAAGCGGCCCAAAGCCCGCGCAGCTGGAGAGTCTAGAGCCCTGAGGGGCCGTCTACGCGCTGGAGGCACTCTAAATGGATCTGGGTTAGGTGCTTCATTCCGCCGTAACATGTCTCGCGACACAGGAAGGCACGTCCCCAGCAGCGAATCGTCCAGGAAACCATGGCTAACCGTGCCCGCTCCGACACCCGACACCCGATCACCGGCCCTGGCTGATGGTTGGGAGGAAGAGGGACCCCCCCAGGGACAGGTGTGGCTGGATCAGGCAGCCGGCAGCGACACGACCACGTCCCACATATCCATACCACGACCACGCTCACCTGCACCCTCGACCTCGACACTGTGACGCACGTGACAGACACGGGCCCCACCCGCAGTACGGGCCAGCCTGAATTTTTTTAAACTTCGCGGCCGCGAGCGGCAGACCTTGTTCCTCTCTTTTCCTTCTTCAACAATTCCAGACCACCTATTCAAATCATCGCCAGCCTGCCTCGATTTTACATCGCTTCTACGCTGCTGACGATTCCAAAGGATGTGTCGAGATTGACATTAGTCTTGCTTAAAACAATTGTTGTGAGGGCCCCTCGTGCGGCTTCCATGATGCGATGATCACCTGACGCAAGAGACATGCTCCGCCCATTGGAGTTGTATGCCTAAATCTTTTTGCCCAGTCCTCGTGCGATGACGGGGTTGCCTCCATTCGTGACGCAATGCCATTTCGAGCCTCAAGCCGCAGATTCATCTCCCCAGCAGGAGCTTGCTGAATAATAAGGTACGCTTCTTGGGAGACGGGGGATGGGGAACTGGCTGTGCAGAGACAGGATGACAATCTTACATCTGGTAAACCGATTGCTCAGCCGCGAGTGCGTCGTGTGGTCTCATTTCGGCCTATGTGCGTTGACCAGGTTGAGCCTGCGGAGAACTGGCGTGTCTGAATTGCTCTGGACTGTGGTCATGGAAATATGCGGAATCTTCTGGATCATGCAGCTAATCTGTCTCGTCTAGTCAGATCCACTCCGAACTCCAGATCTGGAACTCCAACAAATCTGTTATCTCCAGCAATTCGTGGCGGTCCAAGTAGACCATATACCGCGTGTCTCATATTGGCCAGATCCATCCAAACCGTAGCTATGCTCATTCTTGGGCTATGAGGCTTTTGAGATTTGGATGGATTGTACATCAAGCAGTAAGTTGGCCTGGACAGACACAAGCAGACTTGATCAACAAAGCAGAATCCTTTGCTTAGGTGTTGTAACAATAGCTTTTCTATCTTTATCAAACTTTTGAATTTATTCTTGAAAAGAACATACACAGCTACAAAGGCTTAGGTTCGATTATCATTCCTTTCATGAGGCATCTTGCCATGTTCATCAATACCGTCCAACAAACAAAAATCCTCTAGCAATTATTACAACGAATTTCTGTAGACTTGAGCGCCTCCTTGGCGGAAGGCAATCGTATCCCTCCTTTGCATAATCATCAGTGTCCTGTTGAGTGCTTGCTCAGTGTAGCCCTTTTGCTCAACCATCTCGCGCTTCAAGGTAGACAAGTTGGTGCTCCAGCCAACTGCCAGGCGTCGCTTGAGCTCAGCCTCCAGTCTGTTGACCTCATCGTTGAGCTCCTTGCTTCCTTGGTTGCTGCCCTGGTTGACAGCGTCCATGGTGGAGCAGAGGAAAAGTCTGATCGCCTCGTCCACATGCTCCTCGGTAGCAATAGGAGATAGCGTCAATTTGGCCAAAGACTCGGTAATACGGACAATGGCCTCAAGTTGACGAACAGTAATCGGGATAGAAGATCTCGTGTTTGCCTCCATCTCCGCGGCGTGGACCTGCCTTCTGATGGAGACGAAATGGGACGACAGCTTCTCAGCGGCCTCTGGGCTGAGGCGAGGAGCCATTCTCCTGATAATATCATTAGCATGCCATCTTGGCCGTTTATGTTTGCTGGACAACTTACGATTTGCAGTAGCTGATATATCTCTTCATCTTGTCCACTGGGATCTCCGACTCAACTTGCTCTTCCGCACCACGGCCACCCATATGGATGCCCATAACGTGCTTCGCTATCCTCTCGTCCTTCTCGCGTGTGTGCTCATCCTTGACGATGAAAATCATGTCGAAACGAGACAAAATCGTGGTCTGAAAGTCAATGTTCTCACCAGGAGTCTTCATGTCGTCGTAACGACCGAAAATGGGGTTGGCTGCCGCCAACACTGATGTTCTGGCGTTGAGAATAGTAGTGATACCGGCCTTCGCAATAGAGATTGTTTGTTGTTCCATGGCTTCGTGAATAGCCACTCGATCCTCGTCACGCATCTTGTCAAACTCATCGATACAAACCACACCACCATCAGCAAGAACCATAGCACCTCCCTCGAGATAGAATTCGCGGGTGGATGCGTCGCGCTGGACGGATGCTGTCAGACCGGCAGCTGAAGAACCCTTGCCGGAAGTGTAGATGGAAATCGGTGCGCACTTCTCCACAAACTTAAGCAGTTGCGACTTTGCCGTACCAGGATCACCAAGAAGTAGGACGTTGATGTCTCCACGAAGCTTCATGCCGTCTGGCAAGATCTTCTTGGACCCACCAAGCAACAGACAAAGAATGGCCTTCTTGATGTCGCGGTTTCCGTAAATAGATGGCGCTATGCAGTCGGCCATGATGTTGTAAAGATCGGGCCTTCTGCTCATCTCCAAGAATTCTTGCTCTTCCTCATCAGAGAAGAGGGCCTGGCCTCTTGCCGTCTGGTCGATATCTGTCTGGATGCCTACGGCTCTCAGATAAGGAGTGCGAATGGCGACAGCACCGCCGGTAGCCGAGTTCTTGGTGGCTTTGTTTTGATAGATGGAGAAGATTCCCATCACTGTACACCTTGAGCCGGGGACCACACGGTTGGTCAAGTAGCGGTCTGCGGAGATGAGAACGTGTCTAGGAAGTTCACCAACAGGAACCTGGTCAGGGGCCTCCTGGAGTTTGATAATCTGTTGGTCGACAAATCGCGACTTCTCGTGAAGCACAAAGTACGGGTCGAGAGGACATTTGGGGGTAGGGTCGTTGGGAATTCTCGACCTGCCGCACTGCCTGGGGAGTGTGACACCCGTGAAGCCGCCCAGCACAGGGATTGTTGACGCATGGGCGCAGTTGCGGCATTGGATCGCGATTTCTGTCGCCTTTGATGACATGACAGAAGCACCAATCACGATGCCTGGCACCCTAACGAGTCGCGATATCGTCATCGAGTCCAGGTTGCGAATCGAGACATCTTCGGCGTTGGAGTGGAGGAGCAGCTGGTGTTCGGGAAGGTCGACCTTGGCTTGTTGGGGGAAGACGATTCGGTGCGTGCATTTCTTGAGAGCGGCTTCGAACTGGTCGCAGAACGTCAGATAAGATTGGGGGGCATGTCGAGACTGAATCTTACCAGTGGGATAATCTCAGCCGGTTCCGTCACAAGCCTATGCGCCAACTCCTCGCTGTAGTTGATCAGGTCGTTAATGTCGACATCGCAGTAGTACTTCTTCAGAAGGGCGTTTTCCTTCAGTTGGTTTCTGTTGAGGAGAGATCAGCAATTGCGCGACTGAGCGAGTGTTGGAGGTGTCGCAACCAACCTGTAGGTGTAGTCGTTGTCATGTCTGAATTGCAGAATGAAGTTCTCCAGCTGAGTCTGAATCTGCGTACGGTTGTCCTCACTTCGGCCATCACTCGGCTCGAAGACGTGAGTTGAGTAGATCGATCGGCTGTCCATCGTTGCGATTGCGATCCAAGGTTGGCGGGCAGCAGTTGTTAGAGGAGCGGTGTTGAGGATCACAGATTTGGACTGAAAATGTGGATGCTAAGGAGGGGCAGGTTGCGCAGGGGAACTGAACGCGCCCCTTTCTTTCGACGCGCTTTCGCGTAAAGTGGTTACTTTGCTAGCGCGGATCTGACGAGTACGTACCCGCATGCGGCTGGGGAACTGGGACGGCTTATCTTATCTGCACGTGAGATCTGCGAGCATCACGGCTCCCATCTGGGACGCAAGCCCCTTGGCGATGAACTGCGAACGTGGCTAAGCTTCGAGCTGCGCAAAGACCAACTGCATCTTTCGTTCTTTCCTTGTCGCGCTTGACCTGTGTTTCTTGTTGCGAGCCAGTTTTCCCGAAATTTTGAAGCCGATGCGATCTTGCCAGCGATGATACCCCGGTAGTCTGGCTACGTGGCTGTCAGCTAATACGGTTATCGGCTCTCCTGCGACTCAGCGAATCGTCGAGGTCCAGAAGCAGCTCCCACCAGCCCACATCACACCTGGGGCCATTACCTTACATCATGTATTCCTCTTCGGCTGCCCGTAAGTCGATGGACACAATATCGCAACCATCCTCTCCGCCGGCTTCGCGAACCGAATTCCCATTTCATAAGTAAGCTACCTTCCTCGCTTCATTCCCGGCCACGTTTGCGCTAACAGCAACCAGACCAGGACATGGCTACCCGCACCACACCGGCCGACGCGGCTCGACGGCGAGCTCGATACACTCTATAGGTGGATCTCTCGATACATCGTCCAGCAGCTGGGCGAATGCGGTGTTGGAATCCGGGCAAAATGGTACAGAATTGTTACAGTCGAAGTGCCTTGTCTTGTGCTGACAGCGAACCAGCCATCTCGACACTCCTGCAACCACCCATCGTTCGAACCGGCCTACAACCTCACACCTCTGCGCCCGCTTCGAGTGCCCATAAACCTCCCACTTCCCGCGATATTCCTCCTGTAACTCTCACAAACATCCCTCATGTCGACCCGTCTGAGTTCAAGCCATACCTGTCGCAAGTTGGCGCACTCTACGAACAGCTTCGCCGCGTCAAAGAACAAGAAGATGAACGTCCGGGATCGGCAGGCCGAAGATCGAGTAAACACGACGATTATGGAGAGCTGGACGAGAGTCACTTGAAGCCAGCCGGTCGCCAACCAGCTAGGCGAAAGTCTTCCATCGCCTCCATCACATCGATATCTTCTCTCGAAGGTCCCGGTCCGTTACGCCGTAGCAGCTCGGGACTAAGTCGGAAAGGTGGCCAAGGACCGCCTCCATTGTCAACGATTCCCAATGTCTACTTTGACGACGACTTTCATCTCGAGAATCCCAGGACATTCGATGTTGTGAGCGAACGTTCGGAGGTTGTTCCTCCAGCACCAGGAAACACCGATGCTGGGAGCAATGGAAGTATTGTGGCACCCAGAAAAGCGCTGGCAACAAATGCGATTCTTCAAGAGAAATTGTCCTGGTACATGGACACCATCGAAGTTCATCTGATCAACAGTATATCAACGGCGTCGACCACCTTCTTTACTGCTCTGGGCTCGTTGCGCGAACTTCACTCGGAGGCGGCAGAGTCCGTGGACAGGATCAAGACACTTCGAAAGGAGCTTGAAGCCCTCGACGAGGAAATCGCCACGAAGGGCCTTAACATAGTCCAGAAGCGCCGCCGGCGAGAGAACGTTCAAGCCCTGAACGATGCCGTACTGCAGTTACGACATGTCGTAGAAGGAGTTGCTGCATGCGAGGCGTTAGTCGATGCCGGTGAAATCGACAAAGCTCTGAGCAACATTGACACTCTGGAGCTACTCATCGCGGGCGAGCACGATAAATCTCCAGAAGCCGAGGCGCCGATATTACCTGCGTCACGGCTCAGAGATCTAAGGGGCGCAACGGCTTTACAAAGCGTTAATGAGGACTTGCATCAATTGCGCTTCCGCATTGGGCGAGCTTACGAATCCAAGTTCCAGAGCTTGCTGCTTGCTGATCTGCGCCACCACGTCGAATCTGTCAGTTACCGGGACGTTCTACTGCGATGGAGCAGCTCGTCAGTGCGGGCCAGGGGCGGTGCTCTGCGAGAAGCAGCCTCATTTCCTGCCTACCTTGGCTCAACGCAAGAGCTGCGCAAGGCGGTGATGCCAAATATTCTTGGCCTTCACCGAGCCCAGCATATTGCAACTGCTATAAGCGCTTACAGGGAAGCTGTTTTGCGCGAGGTGCGGAATATTATCCGCAGGCCTATGCCAAGCTCCAATGACGATGATAACGAATCCATGATGTCCGCGTCTACAATGAGTGGCGGTAGGCAGCGGACGAACCAGGAAAAGTCGTCCATATTGGCAAGAAATCTCCGAGCACTGGATCCAAAAGATGCGGAGGAGTTGCTCAAAACTATGTATATTGGCGTCACAGAAATCCTGCGTCGCTTGACCACTCAAGTCAAGGTGCTGCTCGATATCGCAAGCTGTCTGACTGAGGAGGCCACTGCGGCAGGGCTCAAATCCCCGCCGATCCGGTCGCCTCTTGCAAGCCCAACGCCATTTGACCGAGAGTTCCCCAGGATGGACGTCGCTCCAGGCAGCTTTGAAGTGCAAGAGGAAATACACAAAGCAATGGACGTACCCAATTTGGTTGGGCAAGCAGTCGACATGGCCCAGGACAAGGTCTTGAAAGTTCTGAAGGTCCGGTCAGAACAAAGCACGCATCTGACACTGGGTTGGTTCCTGCGATACTTCACGCTGAACCTTTACTTTTCCAATGAGTGTGAAGCGATTTCGGGACGAAGTGGCACATCACTGAAGACCCTTGTCAATAGCCACATCAAAGAATTCGTTCAGCAACACGGAGAATCTGAGAAGCAGAAGCTTGCTCAGGGCATGGAGTCGGATCAATGGAGTGCGAAGGACTTTGATGAAAAATCCAAAATACTACTTGACCAAATCCTCGAGAGCAGCACTAAGGATGCTGCGGCATGGACCGAAGGCACCAAGATATGGGAAGATCAGCCCGACGAAGAAGCATCGAATGGAGTTGATACAGCACTCGAAACAAACGGTACGAGCAAAGAAAAGGCGCGAACGGCAGAGATCGAAGGGGAGGCGTTCTTGCTACCGAATGCTGCGATTCTCTGCCTCGAGGGTATCTCGCACTTCCTGCATCTCATTGGAAGCATCCCGTCCATGGCCACAGACATTGCAACCTCTCTTATTACTTACTTACAGCTGTTCAACTCTCGCTGTACGCAACTAATTCTTGGCGCGGGTGCTACTCGATCTGCGGGATTGAAGAACATCACAACCAAACATTTGGCGTTGGCATCACAAGCTCTATCATTCATCGTCACGCTGATTCCCCATATCCGGGAATTCGTCCGGAGGCATGCTGGCTCTGGTGCAGGCGTATCCAGCTTGATGGGCGAGTTCGACAAGGTTCGCCGCCTGTTCCAAGAGCACCAGAACAGCATCTACGACAAGCTCGTGGAGATTATGAGCGGTCGAGCGGCGGCGCACTCCAAGGCCATGAAGGCCGTCGACTGGGACAACGACACAAGCCAATCGACACACCCTTACATGGAGACGCTAGCCAAGGAGACCACGACCCTGCACAGAGTGTTGAACAAGCACCTGCCCGAGAACTCGGTGCAGATGATCATGGGTCCCGTCTTTGCAAGCTACAAAGACCAGTTCGGAAGGGTCTTGCAAGCATCAGACCCTAAGACGGACACTGGTCGTAATAGGTACGCTTTTGTCGCTAAACGAATGTCTCCACTTACTAACGTACGCGCAGCATGCTCCGAGACGTGGACTTCTTCATCGCAAAGCTCGGCAAGCTTGACGGCTTCCGCGATGCTGGTGACTACCTCAAGGGCATCATCAACTCCAAAGAAATCAAGACGGCCCCGTCGCCTCCCTCGGAGAAGCAGGCAGACGGTGGATCGGAAACAACGGTGTCAACCACCACATCAACAGCTGAGCCGGGCAGCCGGCAAAGCGCAGAGGACGGGAAGACGGAATCGCCTTCAGGGGCAGAGGAGGAGCCAAAACCGTCGTCGTGATGTTAGCTGTAGGATGACGAGGCAGGGGGGGAGGAGAGGGGGGCAGGATTTCAATCGTGGAAGGAGCGGACTAGCATGTAACGGCGTCAATTTCACAAGGAAGAAAAGCTGTACTTCTTTTGCTACAGGTAATGCTGTACCACACATTCCACTGGGGAGATCTACAACGTACCGTACGCGGCCCGCCTTTAGCTGCGTTACCCCCTTCCTTGCAACTCTTTCCGATGTGCCACCACACGGAGAGAGGGACATGTGCTCAATGAGAAGAAGTCACGACGACTGCAGCTGGGCGTTTCCCCACGGGTAGTCGCATACGTTTGCCCGTCAGTCAAGGGAAGCCCGCATCCTGCGTCGTTTCAGACCTGCCACTCCCTCGTCGGATCCAGCCTGCCGGGTCCTTTGGTAGTAATCGTCAATCGGGCAGCTGATGGGGGAGCGATCGGCTTGTCTTTCCCTTTTGGTGGTTTTCAGCTCCCCGCAGCATACGACACGGGTAATCAAGCAGGAGATACCCTTCATTTTCTTTCCCCCGCCGAGGGAGAAGGCGAGAGGATGACGATAGCAGTTCAAGTGGCTGTCGTCGTCGTTGGCTGCTGACGTTGCCCGTGGCCTTACCAAAAAGCGCACCACACCCCGGGGTTCCGCCTTGTGGCCAATCAGAGGGGGGGAGGCCCGACGTCCGACTCGGATACCCCTGCGACGCGTGGTCTTTACTTCCCAGCGGCACGGGTCAACGGCAACGTCGTCTTTTTTTTCCCAATTTACGACGACAATCTACGAAGAGTATTGCCCTTCTCCCTCCCCCACTGAGGAGTGGAGGCGGTGCGACGTTTCTTGCTTTTCGAGGGCTGCAGAGGCGTTGTCTTTGTCGTTGGTTTATCCCGGCCGTTGAAACGTCTGTGG